GGGGTGACTGAGAGTAATAGACTTTTTAAATATGTCAAAAATACTTGTTTGAACATGAGAATCAGCATTCTTCTTTGTTTCGATCCCGGGACTTTCCATACCTGAATCCACTATATCACCTCGCCTGAAGTTAGAAACATCCTCCTCCTCGTCGATTTCGTCATCCTCTCTATCCCGTAAAGAACCGTTTGCCTAAAAACGTAATGACGTAAGTGGATAAAGCAAAAGTTTAACGTTAAGATAAGACAAATTATCTTACAATATGCTCATTGATAGTAGTCCTGGCTAAACGAGCAACGGTGAAGAAGCAATCCCGAGTAGCCTTAAAATTAAGGCTAAGTTTTACCATAAAATCACGAAGATTATTCAGCTTATCAGAGCGAAATTCATCGCTTAATTCGCGATGACCGCGAACACTCTGAAATATTACGTTATGAAAAAAAATAAAACAACCATATAGCCCTCTTTTAATGAAGAAAAACTTGATCGGAGTTCTGAAAACCGTTGTTTGACGTCAACCAAAAGGTTAGTGGCTTCGTCCAAGCGCTACAAAAATGTCATATAATGATGCTTACGGCTTCTTCCGTTATTGAATATAATCGTTCTGCCATTCCACTATATCTATCGATTTCAGATACCATTTCATTCAAATGAGCAAGTTGGGCCTAAAAAGGAAGAGTTAGAATTATATGGACCCACTGCAAAGGTAAGGAGCCAATCAGTCACTCCATTTACATTCGAACTTTCTGCTTCGACAGCAGACTCACTTACTTCGGCATAATCCTCGCCCGGGCTCGGCTCATTAGAATCCCCTCTAGACTGATTAGGCACATCAGGCCTTGGGTCTAGCGTAGAAATGAATGGCTGAGCACCAAAATCCTCCACCTCACCAGAGCGACCCAAAGAATCAAGCGAATCTTCAGGCCTAAGCTCATTTTCCATTTCATCTAAATCGGCGTCGATATCTCTGTGAGATGTCCGCATTTTACTCAGCGCCTCTTTAGTTATGTTTTCTGGGCGAGAATTGACAGCATTAGGCGATATTGAAGAAGACGGAGTCTCAGGGTTTAGGTTATCAAATCCTTCCCCTTGTGCATTATGAGGCAACGAATTTGAACCCTAAAACAAGGGATAAGGGAGTTAAAAAGAATAAATAAATCAGGATAAAATAAGGTCCTAGCAGGCGGTTTTAGACGCTCCCCTTATTATCAAGATTAATGTCACTATCGTAAGACTAGTTAGCTCCATAGACAACCCCATCTTTACCTCATACAATAATGATTCTTCGAGAAAATTTCTAATCCTATTCTGTCGTTCTCTTATGGAGCGGAGCTGTGTCTCGATTTTACTATCTTCAAAACGCTAAAACGTGTCATGTGCGTGAGGTAATAAGGTCATACCTGGCAAGATTTGTAGCGTTCTCGGTGCTCTTTCAACTTGGCAACCAATCCTTGGAATCTATCAATCTGTGCTTGGGTTTCCTAAGTGTAAATAAAAGATAAACAAACCTCAGTCAACGGCAGGCTTTCGAGTAACTCAAGCATCAGCTCGCCTTCTTTGATATTAGTCTCAATTTGGTCTATTTTCTTAGTATACTTCTGCTTT